AACTGATGTATTTGCACACGGTACACCATTTATTATAATATAAATATATCTGAAATTTATTGAAAAGTTGGATAATTTCCAAAAAGCTGAAGTGCTAGAGCAGAGGGTCAACAACTAGTAAGAGTGGTGACTTAAAGGGTTGAGGTTAGCACATGGAAGTCTTGTAAACTGCACTCGGAAATAAAACAAAGTATATTCTACAAACTGACTCCTTTTATCAATAGTTACGAAGCCCATAAACTCCGTAACAGGTGTATTATATGAAAAGGAGTAGAAGGGGGTACCTTGCAAGCTGAGTGTGGATGGGGGGAGAGACACCCTGACATATGTGTAATAAATNTACATATAGCCTACACACACACACGAACAGACCAAGGGTTTTAGGCTTTTCTTGGCTTTGTCTTGTTTTACTCGGTGTATCATTTTTTAGAAGGGGATATAAGTGGATACCCCTGGCCTGTCTTACAAATTAAAGAGGGGGGAGGGAGACCACTGTGTTCTATGATCCGCCACTGTATTACGTTATCAATGTGTTCAATTTGTCAAAGACCTACATCCCTGACATATGTGTAATAAATAGCACCTAAACATATCAAGCTTAGTAACACTATAGATGCATGCTCCATTGGACAATAAACGTCCTTGAACTAGATGTTTGCCTTAGTTGAAAAAATAAAGTCAATAACAACAAGGGGAATTCCCCTCGACATTTCTAAAAATAGGGTGTCGCCATTTGCAGGAGGCTTGTAAAATCGGTAAGTTACCGAAATTTTTCGAATTTCTGAGGTAACATGTCAAGCACACCAACGTGAACGACATACATTCAAGTAGTTCTACTTGGGATATCAGTGAGTTGTTAACATCTGGGTAAAAAATTCGTGGCAAGACATCATAAAGATTGGAAGTGTTTGCCCTGATCGATCTTGGAAATTTTGCGTTACTTTCTGTTTGCAAGTGAATGCCCCAATATGTGGGGGCGTCTCGATAGTCCGAAGGTCCATTGGTCCGAAAAGTGGTAACATTTTCATCGATTTTTTAATAAAGGGTTCATTGGTCCGAAGGTTCTATAGTGAACGTTCGGACCAATGAACCTTCGGACTATTGGACCTTCGGACTATCGCTACGGCCCCGAATATGTTGTTATGAAAATTTAGATATTAAGTGCTTTGGAATAAAACAGGGTATGAATGAAGAAGTTAAGGAAACGTTCACAATAATAATAATAATAATAATAATAATAATAATAATAATAATAATAATGTTAGCCACCGGCCATTGGCAGTAGGTAAGGTAATATGATGTTTTTACGAAATTCTGAAGAAAAGGGACAACCACATCACTGAGACCAAGAGACATATAAATACTAATAGTTGTACTTGGGATATCAGTGTGCTTTTAACTATGGGGCAATACGATCTGTCTTGCTTACGACATCATTAAGATTTGGAATAATTATGAGAAATGACATGTAATTTCTGTTTGCACAAGTACATGAATATGTATGTGAATGTACCCTCGTTGAAAACTCAAGTGAAATCGTTTGTAAAAAATATTGGAATAGTACGTGATACTGAGTAGGAATAGGGCCTACGTATATAAGTCACATTTAAAAGATGTTCGAAATAACCTTTTAAAGAAGAACGACCTTGTATTTATAAGCTTTTTGACTAATTTTTTGTAGACTTGATCATGTGCGACACACTGTGACACACACACACACACGAACAGACCAAGGGTAATGGATTTTTTGGCTTTGCTAAATTTTGATCGATGTATTATCTGAAAAGGAGTAGAAGGGGGTACCTTGCAAGCTGAGTGTGGATGGGGGGGGGGGGGGGGGGGGGGGNGAAATTCTGAATCACTGAGACCAAGAGACATACTACTAATAGTTGTACTTTGGATATCAGTGTGTTGTTAACTATGGGGCAATACAATCTGTCCTGCTTACAACGTCATTCAGATTTGGAGTAATTACGTGAAATGACATGTAATTTTTGTTTGCACAAGTACATGAATATGTATGTGAATGTACTCAGGTTGAAAACTCAAGTGACATCGTTTGTAAAAAATATTGGAATAGTACGTGATACTGAGTTGGAATACGTATATAAGTCACATGCATTTAAAAGATGTTCAAAATAACCTTTTAAAGAAGAACGACCTTGTACTTATAAGCTTTGGGACTAATTTTTTGTAGACTTGATAATGAGCGACACACACACACACACACACACATATGAACAGACCAAGGGTAAGCGAGCATGTGTAATAAATAACACATAAACATATCAAGCTTATTAACACTATAGATGCATGCTCCATTGGACAACAAACGTCCTTGAACTAGATGATTGCCTTAGTTAATAAAATGAAGTCAATAACAACAAAGGGGAATTCCCCTCGACATTTCTAATAATAGAGAGTCACCATTTGCACGAAGCTTGTAAAATCGGTAAGTTACTGAAAATTTTCGAATTTCTGAGGTAACTTGTCAAGCACATCAATGTAAACAAGAGACATTCAAGTAGGTATACTGGGATATCAATGTGTTGTTATAACATCTGGGGAAAAAATTCATCGCAAGACATCATAAAGCCTGGAAGTGATTGCCCTTAGTAATCGATCCCGGAAATTTGACGTTACTTTCTGTTTGCAGGTGAATATGTTGTTACAAATATTTAGATATTAAAGTCATTATATTTTATAGTTGGGGGGGGGGGAGGCCCACTGTGTCCTATGATCCGCCACTGTATTACATTGTGTACGTTATCAATATGTTCAATTTGTCATAGGCTCACAACCCTGACATATGTGTAATAAATAGCACCTAAACATATCAAGCTTAGTAACACTATAGATACATGCTCCATTGGACAATAAACTTCCTAAAAATAGATATTTGCCTTAGTTGCAAATAGATAGCAATAAGGGGGAATTCCCCTCGACATTTCTAATAATGGAGTTTCGCCATTTGCAAGAGGCTAGTAAAATCGGTAAGTTACTGAAAATTTTCGGATTTCTACAGTAGCATGTCAACCACATCAACAATATGAACTAGAGACATTCAAGTAGTTATACTTGGNGATATATGCTCCATTGGACAATAAACTTCCTAAAAATAGATATTTGCCTTAGTTGTAAAATGAAGTCGATAGCAATAAGGGGGAATTCCCCTCGACATTTCTAATAATAGAGAGTCACCATTTGTACGAGGCTTGTAAAATCGGTAAGTTGCTGAATTTTTTCGAATTTCTGAGGTAACTTGTCAAGCACATCAATGTGAACAAGAGACATTTAAGTAGTTATACTTGGGATATCAGTTTTTGTTCACATCTGGGTAATAAAATTCGTGGCAAGTCATCATAAAGATTGGAAATGTGTGCCCTTAGTAATCGATCTGGGAAATTTGGCGTTACTTTCTGTTTGCAGGTGAATATGTTGTTCTGAAAATTGAGAGATTAAAAGGCATTAGATTTTATAGTTGCGTTAAGAGTGAATCAGTATGTAAAGGAAGAAGGCAAAGGGACGGTCACAATACACCGACCCAAAGAGGGATGGCATATCACAGAGGCTGCAGTATAAACTCTATGGCAAAGCAAATCAATAGGCCTACTTCTTTTGTAAATATGTATTACTATATTCATGTACAAGATGACGTACCTATATTTCTACTCATATATAATCTGCCTACCGTGTATTATTGTTGTGAATAAAACCATGGGCGACTGCAGAAAGTTTGCCGGGGGGGGGGGGGGGGGGGGGCAAAAGCATTGGGGGGGGGGGGGAAAAGGTTGGGGGGGGACCCCCAATTAAAGGGCCCCCCCAAATTTCCGGGGGGGGGGGGGGGGCCCCC